GGGGCTGAGAGGTGCAGTCGACTGTGACCAACACTGACGTAGTGGGGTGTAACATCCGACACGTGGAACTAATAGGAGGGTATCTGTGTGTGTCTGTCTGTGTGTGTGTGTGTGTGTGTGTGTGTGGGGGGGGGGGGGGGGGGGGGGGGGGGCGGGGGGGGGGGGTGTTGCTGGGGAGATGAGATATATGAATATTTGACACTTTCGTTATTATGTGTATGTCAAATTCAATAAAGAAACCATGATCACGTGTTATTTTTAAGACATGCACCCCACCGATTTTGAAGCAAACGGGTATATTATTAAACCAAATTGCATAGCGGATTATGTCCTTTCAGCTGACTAACTCTTGTATGTTAACTTTGTTAACTTCTAACAATTGTATGTTAACTGCTAACTCTTGTTTTACAACTGGGGATTTCAGAATGCACCTCTCCTTTCCCAAAACACTGCCTTTGTGTTTTTCAGGTACGCGTGCTGGGGACATATTCTGTCCACAATCCTTGCGGGGCTCACTGACATGAAAACGTCAAAGGAATAATCCCAAACGCACGTTATAAACAATATTTCAGTTCGACATGTACGTGTGTTATTAATTTCCCAAACTTGTTTTCATCTTGTCTTTTGTCAAACACTCTAGACTACTACCTAGACACACTACACACTGTCTACTCACATGAAAGGACCATTTGGAAGTAATGATTAAAGTCATCAAGTCTTCAAGTACAAGTGCATCAACTTCAGACTGATTCAAAGAATGTTAATACGGAAGTGTGGTTACTGTACCCACTGAGCTTAACTCAACTCACATATAGGACAGAATCAAAGCTAATCGTCATCACACGCGGCATTTAACGCCAATATTCGTTACACCAATAGCACCACATATTATTATAGTGATGAGATTTGAAGGCTGTAAACATAATTGGATTTCAATAGCTTGCGTCAATATCAAAGGCTACGGAAATTCACTAAATACCTGTTCCAATGATCTTCCTTCAAATGTTGGCCTTGGTTTCAAAGGCTTGGAAATTTGTTAAATACCTGCTATAATTCTACTTTCACTACTTAGCTAGACTACGAGAGGTATATAGAGGTAGCAACTGCGTCTAATTCCCCTTGGGAGGGGGTCTGGCTCGTCCTTCGGACTCCCTACGGCGTCCTCTCGAGATCTTGCTTCAAGACTTTGAACACGACATGCCTCACTTGGGCCGCAACAGCTGCACGTGCGGTGTGCACGCGCGCTCGTGCTCATCACGCGCTCCCTTCTGACGCCTTTAATTAATAACCCATCTTCAAGACGGACAATGTTTCTCAATGGATCCGTGTTTGTATGTTGATATGAGTCTGTTTGTAACTTCTAACTTTCCTTTCATCGCGTGAGGAAGGGGCCGGTCACGAGCGGCCATCTTTCCGTGACAACCGGTACTTGGCGTGAGCTGCCTTTGAAGTCTGAGTGGACTTGATGACTGATGTTGAATTTAAACAAACTATACAAAAGAGGACGCCAGTTTCACTCCAGGGTTTATCAGGTCTAGAGCTGCTGTAAAATAATAGCGTCAAACCCCTTCCGATATTCATAAGAAATCTCTTGTTTACGATTATATCATAAGAATGTGATTATGAATCACTATCAAATTGTGATGATATCAGGTGTTCGCAAGAAGGTGAGCGTATCCTGCCAATTCGTTTGCGGGCACGCCAGGGCATGAAAGGCAAGTCAACTGTCACCTGAAAAACCACGAGAGGTGAGGTGAGGTTAAATGGGGTTTAACGTCGCGTCCAAGATTATTGCACTTATATAGCGACGTGCAAGTTGTGTGTGTGGGTGTGGCTGCTTGTACTAGTCCGGACCGATGCCGATTTATAGTGCTAGCTCACTGAGATACCATGCCGCAGTTTAACATGAATATCCCACTTAGAAACAGTATACTGACTCCGAGCCGACCAGTCCTTGTTTTAGCCCCTTAATGCCGAGAGCCAGACAGGGTAACAACAAGTACCATCTTTGAACGTCTTTTGGTAACGAGAACATACGGTAAAGTCAAAACAGGTAATTGCATTGGGCATATTTTTTGTTGCTGACGAGTTGACATTTCCTTCACGTGTCTACCATAAAACGTTTTGAAAGTTTTAGCGAGGCCTTGAATGTTTTAACCCTGATCAAACAACTTTTGGACAAGAGTCGTATGACGCTCTTTGAAATCTTCGTTGAAAGAGCATGCTCAATTGTACCTCAAAATTTGTGAAATGTAGACAGCAAAGGCTGGAGTTTCTGGAATATTGTTCAACATACAGGGAAAGTTGACGTCAGTTGACGAAAGTTGTCAAAGAGTCAGTTTCTGTCACTCTGAATCTTTATGCATAGATTTAGATATGAAACAGATGAGGATGTTTCTAGTGTTCTGTTTGGCCGTTATTGAACGAAATAAGATCATCGATAATCCTAAAGCTGACGTTAAACTTCTTGGCCAAATTCTCTTGTTTTGATTTTGCCAATCCGAGCAGAAATTCCAATCAACATGGATACACATGAGCATTGGTATGTCTACTTATTGCATAAATGTCTCTCTCCCAATATGAGTGAGTGAGTATGGTTTTGCGCCGCTTTTAGCAATATTCCAGCAATATCACGGCAGGGGACACCAGAAATGGGCTTCACACGTTGTACCCATGTCGGGATTCGAACCCGGGTCTTCGGCGTGACGAGCGAACGCTTTAACCACTAGGCTACCCGACCACACCTCTCCCGATATGAACACAGATGTTTTCAACGAGGAAGTCCGTCATTTCACCTAAAGAATTCTCTGTTTCTCAGTACCCAGTTACTCTGTGACGATGTTTGTGAAATTATATGTGGTGTTATGTAACAATAATATGGACTTTGCGAGGTGATGTTTCCACCCTTGCTGAACTAGGCTGGAACTATGGAGTCTGTGCATAGTCCAATCAAAATCCCCTAACGATATCGAAACCCGGTTCATAAACAACATGGCAACTGCCGTGCCGAATTCGTTCGATTGCAAGATTTTCAGAGCATGTGTACCCTGGGCGTCGACACATATTTTCCAAATACTTTCATGTTTTTAATCAAGGTGCTCAAGTGATATGATGCTCTTCCCGACGTAAAACCCGTTTTGTTTGATAAAGATCTTTATTATCGATTTTGTTTAAGCAAATGCAAGCGATATGAGAGGTGGAATCTGATTGGTCAGTAGGGGGATATAGAAGGGACATAACTCTTAATAGCCACTGGTTGCGCTACGATCGAGCCTAGAAATTCCCGGCCAGTTCGGCGATGGTGCAACTGGGCTTTTAAAGTCAGTTAACTCCCTTGCCTCGGCAAGATGGTAACTGTTATATGGAAACAATGGTGTCATATAACTGCCTCGTGGATAAAATGATGTGATGTAACTGCCACGTGACAAAATAGACACAATTTATGGATAACAACTTCTTTATTTACTGTAAATATATAGATAATCATTTTGTCATCTGTCAACTGTCTCCTGATTCAAGGCGCCTGATTTAACTATCACATGGATCCAATGGTGTGAAGTAATCATGGTTACAGGAGCTAATCCAGCTAACACTTAGTCAATGAAAATTTTTTCGAAAGTTCGAAAGAACCTTTCCTCTTCTCCTGTTTTCTGTTTTCTGAGAGTACCCCTCCCTCCCTTGTTGTATATCCTCTTTGTTCTGCCGGGGCACGGTTAGCCCAGAAGTCTCAGGCGTCGCGATTCGCTGTGCAGAGTTGCGTCCCTTGGGCACGCCAGAAACCTATGATTGTGGGTTCGAATCACCGTTCACCCAAATTATGTTTCTAGGTTTGTCAGCACCATTCCCGTGCTCGTGGGTTTCACCGAAGTGGTGGTAAACGTCTGAGACCTGCATCACCTCGGGCTTTCCTCCCACATTACGCTGACACGCCGTGATATAACTGGACTACTGTTAAAAGCGGCGTTAAACCAAACTCACTCACCCAATCGTCGTTCTGTCAGGGCAGCGGGGTAGCCTAGTGGGGTAAAGCGTTCGCTCGTCACGCCGAAGACCCGGGTTCGATTCCCCACATGGGTACAATGTGTGAAGCCGTTTCTGGTGTCCCCCACCCTGATATTGCTGAAATATTGCTAAAAGCAGCGTCAAACTATTCTCACTCACTCACTTTGGCAATTATTATGCGTCGTTCTTTTTGAAACATTTAATGTGATGGTGTATTTTGTTAAGGTTTTACTTTTTCATTTATTAGTCTCTTCAGAAATGAAGCATCTATGTATTTTATCAATCACGAAGCACAGATGACATTGGTCATTGTTTACCCCGGCGTATGTTTATCTGTGTTCCAGCAGTTTTAACAGACAGTATGTTTCGCAGGAACAGCGAGATGTGATAGCCATTTCCAGCGCCATATCAATCGACTGAGGAACGAAACGGAAATCGTTTTGAAGAAGAGAGTTGATAAACTGTGATAGATACATGCGCAGAAATTTACAATTTCATACAAACACTGGAGTGTATGAAAAATATATCGACATGTTTTTCATCTGAGGAGGTTCGTCCATTCACGTCACTTCGTGACACACAACCAAACTGTTTGTAAACATATATCTTCCCACGTGGGCGTCAAATAAGACATTGTCAGTTGTCAAGTGTCGAATTAATTTTATTCAGTGCCACAATCTCCCAAGCGATTTCTTCTTAATTTGCGAACCATCTAATAACAATCTACCTCCATTTGGTACCCTGAAGTCTAATTAACGCAGCATGGTTATTTGAATTCCACGAAGACATTAGCATCTTGTCTGGCTCGTAGACTCCGAGCGCTCACTCAAGGCACCTGTGGTTGTCAGATTATTCGCGTGCCGTGACGTAGCGAGCTCGTGCTGCGACGTTGCGCGAGGGGCAGCCCCGAGTGATTAACACGGCACCTGATTGGATGGCTAGCACATGAGTTTCTGCAATTGGTCTGGTGGATGGTTTCGGCGGGTGTAGAAGTTCTACAACTGCACACAAAGAGTGGAATCGGTGCCAAATAACGGTACACTTGTCTTGAGAACGCGCCTAGAGAACGATTTGATGCTTACAAAGTTTTTTCCTTTGCAAACATGCCCCGTGCGTTCCTGATCAAGAAACACCCAGCTTTTGGGTGTGTTGGCGATTCCGAATCAGACCTACCTTGTGTGCAAGACTCATCCTGCTTTGTTACACCCGTCAATGGCGACTTTCACTCAGGTATGTTCAACTTATCATTTTGTACCTTTCAAATATTTTATAAATATCCATATTTTTCTTGTTACTGTTCCTTAAAAAATTCTCATAAACATTTAATGTCAACAAATATACAGGGTATCATGTTTAGGTTACTTTGAAACTTATATTGTATGTTTGTGAAGCTACAAGTTTTCCAATAATTTTCTAAATTCATTTTGAGTGTTTGAGAATTGTTATATTTTTGTACGATGCCATCTGGTATTTGTGTGAATGCATTATTAGAAGAGAAAATAAAACTTTAGTTTATTGTTATTTTAAAAACAATATTGTGTTTATCTGAAAAAGAATATTACATTCATTCACATATAAAATATATTCCGTTCCTGTATAAATTCAAAATTATTCTTATTTATATTCTTATAAGTTCTATAAGTAATAACTATTCCATTATGTTGTGATAATTCTATCTAAGAAACATATGTTTTCTCTATATCGCCTGACTGTAATATTCTCCTATTGTACTACAATTACACGAAGTAAGCAATTATTCCACAGTAACTTCGTTTCCTATTAAATTAAACTATATCCCACCACAACATTCAAAACAGGACAAGCATGTCATAGTCAATGAAATTTTTAGAATTTCTTTTGTTTAAAAACAACAGAGTTAAGCTATTTTTCACTTGAGCATGTAATTTCCGAAAGCCTCGCGCGCATTTCTACTTTATGCTTTGGAAACATTCCAGTAACAAATTTCTCCAGAATTTCCCTTTATTTGCTTTCATTAATAACCATTTCCTTCGGTTCTTAACCAAATGCTGAAATGATTTCAAGTTATTTGAAACACTTCTGAAGCGGTAATAATGTATTTCACAACTTTCAGTAAAATAGTTTTTTAAACGCACACTTAAGGTGATTAATTTTCCAACTGTAACATTGTGTACCCTCCGTCCTTAGGAACTGAACGCTGATATTTTTTCCCAAGGTTTACAAGTTTAATTCTTTAAGCTTTATAACATTTTATTTTCTTACATTTTTTTGTAGTTTTTTCTATTTCAATCAATTCCCAAATGTTTATGTCTGTGTTTTTTTTCAGTCGCAGTCAATCTGGAAAATCGGGAAAACAGTTTCGACTACCTCGCCATGAGCCCCGGGGGTAAGACTGCGGAGAGCGAGACCAGCCCGGGGGGTGCCTCTCGCCAAAGTCCCTCTGACACGGGAGTTAACAAGGAGTCAAGTCAGAGACAAATTGCCACTGAAAGAGACGAAAATGGAATCATCAGAAATTCGGAAAACGAGACATCGAAGGAAGGGGAAATGGCGGAACGATTAAACAGCAGTTTGGTTTCAAATGAGACGCAAAACACTCCCAAGAGCGCGTTCAAGCCGATCGTTAGACCATGGTTAATTGAACCCGTGCGTGACAAGATACCCTACGGGAATCAACATGTTCTTCGTGCTAATAGCTGCCCAGGGGATGTAAGGCGAGGGGATATCAGCTCGGACAATTATCTACCCCTCCCGGGTAAAGAAGTATACCCCCCAAACTGCCTCTCCCACCTCGACGCTATTCGTTTGCTGCGTCAACGAAGCTCGTTCTATCAAACATCGGCGTTCCATTCCAAAGCCAGCCCCTATCCGAACATAAACGCCTGGCTGGCCTGTCTCAGAAACAGCCGACCTTATCAAATGGTCAGCCTCCCACAAGGAGGAATGGTACCCAAAACGGACCAAATATACCCCGCTACCCATTCGCAACCCCCCAGATACAACTGTGAAGCATGCAGTAAAAGTTATTCCACATTCGGCGGACTTTCCAAGCATAAACAATTCCATTGTACGTCTCAAATAAAAAAAGACTTCAAGTGCAAATTTTGTGAAAAATCCTATTCCTCTTTGGGCGCCCTGAAGATGCACATCCGGACCCACACCCTCCCCTGCAAGTGTAAGCTGTGCGGCAAGGCCTTCTCCCGGCCCTGGCTGCTCCAGGGTCACATCAGGACCCACACGGGGGAGAAGCCTTTCTCCTGCCCCCACTGTGGCCGGGCGTTCGCGGACCGATCCAACCTCAGAGCACATCTCCAGACCCACACGGACATCAAGAAGTATGCCTGTAAACTGTGCACAAAAACCTTCTCCAGAATGTCATTGCTGTTAAAACACGAGGAGGGGAGCTGTACCGGGATGGTTCGGAGAACGTGAGGGGGACACTGTAGTGGTCCCTGGGGTCGGGGAGGGGGAGGGGTGGACTGACAATTATATCATTGGAAATTGTATGAAGAACCATAAGGCCGTCATTTCTCCCGGACAATTATACATATTTCGTTGCTGTATATAATAAACATATTTTTGAACCCGGAATGGGTTTGCATCGTGCTAAGAACACAGGTTAGTAAATTAACAGGAATACAACCGCAAGACAAAATGCGAAAATATTGATGCTTTAGAAACAATTCCAGGACCAATTGGTATGATTTATCATTATATCCAGATGTGTATTCCCTATGAGATTGACGTCTCTGTTCATTCACGTCTTTGTCAGTTAAATCATGTAAATGTGTCAACCGTAGTTGATGTAAGAGTAGGTCAACTGTTTTGTGAAATTCAGTGTATCACATTATGTCTGTAAGAATGTATATATAAATACCTTTGTGTCAGTGAAAGGGAATATGTATAGGCATGTAGCTATCACGAAGAATAAATAATTTATTTTCAATATATATTGTGTCTGATTGTTGCTTCATTCTTTATTGGTTTAAAACGTTATCAAGATAACAGGTTGATGCATAATCAATGAAAGAGTCCATGGTTACTATATAATCACATGGGAGCTTCATTCGAAAATAAGATATTTCTCTGATAAGTCTGGACAGACATTGATAATTTTCCTATTGTTATACTACTACTACTACTACTACTACTACTACTACTACTACTACTACTATTACTACTACTACTACTAGAATCAATTTGACAGTTATGTCAAATGAATTGGCACTTTTGAGAGTGGTCTTTATTCTTTTCAACACTTCCATGGAAGGGTTTTCATGGACAGGTTTTGCGTACAATGGAAACTGTTTCGGCGGATAATCGAGGCTGGTAATCTCTTGCGTTGAAGTTGTATATTTTCTATTATATAAAAATTAGCAAGTAATTGAACCCAGCTGATATTCTGATGATGCAGGCAAAGAAAGAAATACCGAAATGGTGAAGAATTCACCTTGGTGCCACGAACACACGCACAGAAAGAATATGTGTTGAATTTCGAAAAGTCAGCATTTTTTATTCTTTATTTGCCGCACTAATGAACATATTTGAAGATTTTCTGTAAAAATTACAATTTCCAGTGAGCTAAAAAGGGACTTGTATATGGTCATTTTGTTTAGAAAAATATAAATATCTGTCACAAATATGCGTTTGTTTGTTTATTAAAACTGCACACATATGTATCCAATTTTAACTGTCGACGCATGATACATGTTTCTTACATAAACTTATATGTATTTAGAGTTACAAGTAAAAATTTAATTGACACAACAGTTTGAAAGTACCTACTTTGATATTTCGTTTATATTTGTAGCCAAAAAATAACACCGTCTCAAAAAAAATTCTTTTGGTGGAATAGAGGACAAAATAAATAGGCATAAGTGTTGGAACACAACATATAAACAACAAATACACAATGAGCGGAATATCTCCCTGACAGCACAACAACAACGACGAGTTTCCAGCTCAGACATACATGAGTTGAGCGAAGATCCAGCTCAGGCTGTGGGCGTTTCCTCTGAGCGACACATCCTGCTAGCGGTCGTCCGTATAGTCGAAATACCAGACTACATGAAAATATACATGGAGATGGACATTTTATACAGTTACACAAAGATGACACGTAAACACAAATATCACAATTCCCCACTGGAGTTAATTAAGACCCTATTGGGTGAGGATTGCGTAAAGAGGAGGGTCTTATGGCTTTTGTTATTGTGTAATACGGGTTGCGCAACATAGCCATTTAATAAATCATAGTTGAAATGAACCTGAATAAAAATATTTAATACAAATAAATTAAACATAGGGTATCTGACGAAACATTCTGCGTCTATCTGTGTTCTACACACACTACAACAAACGGTGTCTACATATTTTTGTTTGCAATTTAAATAAATAGGGACGCGGGGGAACCCTGCCATCATAAGTCTTTAGTACTCTATTTAGAGGCGACGATTGGGATCGGTGCTGGGGTATGAAAGAAAGCGAGGCAGGTTGTTTACAGGAAGGATGCTTAATTTCAAACACGAAACCCACCACCAAGCCTACCACTGGTGGCTGAAGGTGTTTACATCGGATGTTGGTTAACTAGCTGTTGGTTAGCTAGGTAGGCGAGCAACCGAGAGGGAAGGACTGTTTCTAGACTAACATTAAGTCTCTAAAATCTTATATTACACAATATCCTTCTTGACTCTAAAAATAAAATAAAATTCCCTGTGTGGAATAGAGCTAGCTTGAGCTGGCTAGACTTGCTTTTGTATGCATTTCTAGATTATTGTTTTTAATAAAATAAATATATTCCACGGTCATGGACTACACTGTTTCATGCGCTATCCTTTTCGCGAACGTCTGGTGTCATCACTGATATACAGTGGTCCATTCGGAATTTTTTCACAGCTATTTTGCCCTCTGTTTTCGCGGATAGTGGTTATTCTCTTGCAGGGACGTTCTGTATTTTGAATCAGTCCATCGACATTGTCGACAGGTATCATTCAAAACATGTTTTCGTCTATCGTTCCAACAGCTCCGAGGGGATATGAACGCTTTAATCATTAAAGCAGTGAGTAGAAATCTAAAACATCTTCTCGGGGAGATGTAGTATTGTTACCCTGGTGCACAGCGTTTTATCAAAGCAGAACTTTGCTGATAAGTTTATCGCAATGACTTAACTAAGGCTATTGAATGGACTGTATTCAATGATACCATATGAAAATATTAAGGACAACAACGTTTGTAAAACATACGTTCCTATTACTAAGGACATTCATTGTGAAGATGGCTTATATTAAAATTATGATTGTATTCCTTTTTCTCAATTTATTTCAACTGTATATTTTTATTTTGTAACATTTGGAAGGCTTTTTTTCCCCATGTTTAACAATGTTTAACAGACAATGTTTAAGTACAGATATTTGCTTCCGCCATGTCTCGACCAAAATACTATTAATCCAAACGGACATTATAGATATATAGGGATATAATCGGTCGCATATAAAAATCCCCGATATATCTGTGGCATTTATGTTTAAAACAATTACCAATATCTATTCATATACAGTTTTTTTCTGTTTTTATATTTATATATATAAAGGAAAATAAAGAAAACACCGATGTTTGATGGTGGCCAAAATGAAACAAACAAGAAATGGTTATTCGGTGGTGAGGCCTTTGATAACGGGAACCTAGCTGAGTTTTAGGCCTTTGACTTCAAATAAAATCACAGATATAATGAACTCAAGGGTGATTGAATATTTCCATACATCTGACATGAAGCAAAGTATTAAACCAGGGAAGAGAATTTATGGATGTCGACTTCTTTATTATGAGGAACACAAACACAACGTTTCGGAGTATATGCTTACTCCTTCATCAGGTCAATGAAATATTCAGGAGTAAGCATATACTCCGAAACGTTGTGTTCCTCATAATAAAGAAGTTGACATCCATAAATTCTCTTCCTCATGTGTATCACTTCTAAATGCCTTTCAAAGACTTAGTATTAAACCTATAAAAATATCGTCCTTTTAAACTCTCGTGTACTCCCACATCCCTCACACAGCGAGCCACAATGCAATGTAACCGCCCTCACGTTCACCTCTCCTTCTCAATCTAACCAAAACTAATGGCTTCTCCCATTTCCCTGAAAGATATATGACTTCTCGACGATTAAACCTGTTCTCGCTCGTTCCGGTAGTGTCAAGACAAGCGCACTACACGTGTTTTTGCGTGATTGAGAAGGCACAGCGCCATCTAGTAGCGACTTGGAACAGTCGACTGTCGAAAGTGCGATAGACAGCAACCCAGTCTAGAAGCGACTGGCAATATGATCCGTATACATAGTATCACAAACGCATTATTCATGCTCGACCTGCCATTCCACTTCTGTTTTGCTCTTGATAGGTGGTGCTCCTGGGTATTATGTAACCTCTGATCTTTTTATAGCCTTTGTGCAACGTTGAAATACCGTTACACTGGCGTTAAAGACCGACATGCTAGTATACACGAGGGAGCGAATAGATATGTTAAATAAACTTGCAACATTAATACACAATGCATTTATCGAATACAACTTTACACATTGAAGCCATAAACTATTTGAATAATTATATCAATTGAAAAACCGCATAAAGAAATATAACATAGCTAACCTGGAAATACCGCTTTTCGATCAATTACCGTAAGGCACATTTGTTTGATGTTTGTTGCTTAACGTCGAACTCAGCAATATTCCAGCTATATGACGGGGGTCTGATACTACTGTAACGGTTTTACATTAATCTGGACATTTGTTAATCAGGACGATTTCACATGGAACAACACTGTCCGGATTAAAGAGGTTCCATTCTGTCAAATTGTGTGAGTGGCGTGTACTACCCGTAGAGCATGACATGCTTACCCTTTTCGCGAACATCTAGAGTCTTCACTGATTTTCAGTGATCCATTGAAAGTGTTTTCACCTCTGTTTTGCATTTACGCCGAGTGGAATCGGGTGAGGTTAGGTGAAATGGGGTTTAACGTCGCGTCCAAAATAATTGCACGTGCGTGCACGTGTGTGTGTGTGCGTGTGTGTGTGTGTGGGTGTGTGTGTGGCTGCTTGTACTAGTCCGGACAAATGCCGATTTTGTAGCGCTAGCCCACTGAGATACCATGCCGCAGTTTAACATGAATACCCCACTCAGACACAGTTAACTGACTCCAAGCCGACCAGTCCCTGTTTTACCCCCTTAATGCCGAGCCGAGGGAATCGAACCCGGGTCTTCGGCGTGACGAGCGAACGCTTTCACCACTAGGCTACCCGACCGCCCCACAATTTTGTAACGTCTCCTGTTTGAATCGAATCGAATATATATATATATATATATATATATATATATATATATATATATATATATTCGAGAGAGAGAGAGAGAGAGAGAGAGAGAGAGAGAGAGAGAGAGAGAGAGAGGAGGCGCATGTGAACGGGGTGTAAGACAAGTATTTTTACACACGTTCATGGGGAAAATATCATACTATCTTACGTTCAAGATAAATCTATCTTTCATTGACTATTTAAGTGTATGTTTTTCACACACACATCAACTGAAATCCTTGACACTAACTACTCAAGCGAAATTTACACCCCCAAACAAGTGAAAAGATGACATACAAGGTTTATTTATGACCCCGAGATGTTCGGAGAGTTTGTTTAGGACGTGATTCTCGTGAGATCTCACGTATTGTTCATCCGACTTCGTCACGCTCCACGAACAATGTGACATTTAAACCGTAAGCCTAACAACTGACGTAGACCCCTATCCTTCATAACGTTATAACCCGTGTGAAAGACGAAACAGACACCTGATGAATGGATTTTCATTGAAATGAATTATTGCTATCTGTTCTTCCAAAATACCAAATTGATTAAAAACGAAATGAGCGTGGA